TAATTTCCCGGGTGTTCCAGGAATGCCTGCAAAGAACCGAAGATCGACACAGAGCCGACACTCACATACACACGTACACACATACACACACACACACACTTTCTGTCTCTGTCTCCCTCTCTGTTGTCGGGCTGAACTGCCCTTTCAAACTTCGCGCGAACTCGGCTTCCTTTTAAAATCCGCAACAAAGAATCGAACGCGCCATTTCACGACGAAGCGCCGGGGGGGCACAATGCCCGCTTCTGCGCCGACGCGAACGCGACGGCGGCGACCGCGACGACGACAACAACGACAACAAAACCGACGACGACAGCAACAACGACAACGACAACGACGACGACCAGTTCGAGACAGCCCGCCCGCGCACCACAACCGCATGGGTGCTGCAGCTTGCGGGGGCACCGCCCAGCACGTCACCGGCGCGCCGAGGTTGCGCGACGCCCCCCCCTGAGAGGGGCGGTGACGTCGACGATCTCGAACCACGCTGCCTGCGCGCGCAGCAGCCGAGCGGGCGCCAGCGCGCGCTCGGGGGCGCAGACAGCGCGCCCCCACGCGCAGCAAAGATGCCCCACCCTCGACTGCGCGGGCGCAACATGGAGGCGGAGGTCGTCAGCGACCGAAAGCGGCCCGCGCGCGCGAAGACGTGACGGCCCCGACTTGACCCGAATCGCCCTGGAGCCCCAAACGCTCGCGTTTTTGGGGGGGCGGTGTCGCGGCCGGGAGAGCGACGGGTTCCAGCGGGGGGGATTGGCAGGAATCGGATGAGTAGAGGCAGGCGACAGCGGGAGGGTGGCGGGCCAGGACGCGGCGCGGAGAGAGAGAGGAACATCCGCGGAAATCACGTGGCAAAGAGGCAATGGAAGGAAAGGACACACGGGCACGCAGCAGACGCGCGTGACGCGAAACGCCAAGGAAACGCAAGAGGACTCGGAACGGGGGCCAGCGGCGAAGGGGCGGGGGAAGTTGGGGGGGCGCGCGAGAAGGAGCGTTGAAGGGGAGGGGCGGGCGAGGAGGACCAGGAAAAGGGCGACGACGAAGACGAGGAGGCAGAGTGCGACAAAGGATAACGCGAAAGCAAGAAAACAAACAAGCGATGATAGAGAGGAGAAGGAGGAAGAAGAGGGGGGGGCGACGATGAGGGCGAGGGACAGGTGGAGGAGCAAGACACCTCCAAGATGGTCGCATGACGGCCCAAAAGGCCCCCAAGACGGCGACCTCCAAGACGTCCAATATACTCTCCAAGACGGCCCTGAAGCGCCCCAAGAGAGCCCCAAGTCGGTTCAGAGAGGCCCCCAAGACGGCTTCCGACGGTGTCAGACGTGTCGGGAACGCCTTAAGACGGCCGATGGGGCCCCCAAGAAGCCACCAAAGGCTCCCAAGAAGCCCCCAAGATGCCCAGGGAGGCTCCCAAGAGGCCTGCAGACGGCTCCCAGGAAGCTCTGCAGAGGCCTCCCAAGAGGCCTCGCACGACGGTTCCCAAGAAGTCTCCCCATCATCCTTATCCTCATCCTCATCCCCATCCTCCTCCTGATCATCATCCTCCCCCCTCTCCTGATCCTCCTCCTATTGTCTCCCCCACGCGATCCCCGAAGGCGTTCCAAACCGACTCGGGGAACAACTGGCCCGATAGCCTGGCCAAGCTCTAGCCCAGCTGTCGGCCACATAGGCCCTTCCAAAGGGGCAGGGGGCGGCGGTGATTTCGCCGTATGCGTCTTCGATCCGCCGCCCCCTGTTGATTCACAACAGGGGTGCCCGGCGTGCTGAATCATTCGCTTTTGGTTTGCTGGGGTCCTGCCCTGGGGCTTCGGCCCCGCCCGCCGGGGTCCCTGAATGGCCCGGGAAGGGTGGTTCCGAAAGTTGTTTCTGCTCCAGATGGCTCCAAGATGGCTTCCAAGATGGCTTCCAAGATGGCCTCCAGGTTCGCCCAAGATGGTCCAAGATGGCCTCCAAGATGGCCCAGGAGAGTCCAAGATGCCTCCAATTTCGCACAAGCAACCTCTCAGACGGCCCAAGACGGCCCCAGAGGCCTCCAGGAGGCCTCCAAGACGGCCCAAGAGGCCTCCAAGAGGTCCTCCACGAGAGTCCGAAGAGGTCACTATCAATGTTTTCCTTTGATGTTTGAAGGATTTTGGCTGTTGCTCTTTTCGAGCCTCCCGACGGCTCACGACGGCCCAAGGAGCCCATCGCCCCTTGAGCGCCTAAGAGGCCTCCAAGATGGCTCTATGACGGCCCAAGAGGCCCCCAAGACGGTCCCAACAGGGCGGCAAGACGGCTCCAGAGGCCTCCAAGACGCCCAAGACGGTCTCCAAGACAGCCAAGAAGGCCTCCAAGATGCTTCCAACACGGTCAAGATGAGCTTGAAGACTGCCAAGATGGCCGATAATACTGCCAAGATGGCCCAAAATGGGCCCGAGAGGTTCCAAGATTGCTCCAGAGGAGTCCAAGAGGTGCCCCAAGAAGGCCCGAGGGAGCAAACATCTGCAATGTTCTCCAAGTGTTTGAAAGATGTTTGTTTTTCCTCGGTCGGTGTTGGTGTTCCGACCGCCTAAGATGGCCCAAGGAGTGCCCAAACTAGTCCCAGATGCCTCCCAGATGGCTCCAGAACGGCCCAAGAGGCCTTCAAGCCAGGCCCAAGAGGGCCCCAGCGCGGCCCAAGAGGTCTAAAAAACGACCACGATGGCCTCCAAGATACCTCAAGACTGCCAAGATGACCTCCAAAACGACCAAGATGGCATGAAAAGCCGTGAGAAATATCCCCAAGAGAGCCGAAGGTGGCCCAAGATGCGCCCAAGATGCCTCCAAGACAGCCCAAGATGCCTCCACGACGTTCTCCAGGAAGGCCCGAAGACGCCAAAATCAATGATTGTCCTTAGGCGTTTGAGGAATTGTGGCGTGTGCTTCTTCTCGGAGCCCGAAAGATCGCCCCCAGAGCGCCTAAGAGGCCTCAAATATGGCCCTGTGAACGGACCAAGATGCCCCCAAGAAGCCCCAAGAGGGCCCCACGAGGCCTCCAAGACGGCCGAGATGGCCTCCAAGACGGTTCAGATGGCTTCAAGATGCCTCTAAGACCGCCCAAGATGCACTCAAAACGGCCTAAGATGGCCTCAAGATGGCCCACGACGGCCCAAGAGGCGCCCAAGAGGCCTCCAAGACGGCCCAAGAGGCATCCAAAAGAGGTCTTCCAGCGGGACCCGAAGAGATCAAACTCATCGATGTGCCTACGTTGTTGTAAGAGTTTGGCATTTGCTCTTTTTCTGCAGTCCGACGGCTCAAGACGGCCCAAGAGGCCCCCAAGCTCGCCCAAGAAGCCTCCAAGATGGCCCCATGACGGCCCAAGAAGCTCCCAAGACGGCCCCAAGAGGCCTCCGAGACGGCCAAGATGGCCTCCAAGACGGCTCAGATGGCCCCAAGGTGCCTCTGAGACCGCCCAAGATGCACCCAAGACAGCCTAAGATGGCCTCAAGATGGTCCAAGGCGGCCCAAGAGGCGCCCAAGAGGCCTCCAAGACGGCCTAAGAGGCCTCCAAGAGGTCCTCCAGCGGAACCCGACGAGATCAAATCATTGATGGTCCTTAGGTTGTGGAAAGAGTTTGGCATTTGCTCTTTTTCGGCATTCCGACTGCTCAAGACGGCCCGAGAGGCCCCCAAGATCGCCCCAAGATCGCCCAAGAAGCCTCCAAGATGGCCGCATGACGGCCCAAGAGGCCTTCAAGACGGCGACCACCACGACGTCCAAGATACCCTCCAAGACGGCCCTGAAGCGCCCCAAGAAAGCCCCAAGTCGGTTCAGAGAGGCCCCCAAGACGGCAGCCGACGGTGTCAGACGGGTCGGGAACGCCTTAAGACGGCCGATGGGGCCCCCAAGAAGCCACCAAAGGCTCCAAAGAAGCCCCCAAGAGGCCCAGGGAGGCTCCCAAGAGGCCTCTAGTCCCAGGGAGCTCCGCAGAGGCCTCCCAAGAGGCCTCGCAAGACGGCTCCCAAGAAGTATCCTCCTTCTACTCCTTGCCAATCATCCTCATCCTCATCCTCCTCATCCTCCTCCTCCTCCTCCTAATCATCATCCCCCCTCTCCTGATCCTCCTCCTATTGCTCCCCCACGCGTTCCCCGAATGCTTTCCAAACCGACTCGGGGAACAGCTGGCCCGATAGCTTGGCCAAGCTCTAGCTCAGCTGTCGGCCACATAGGCCCTTCCAAAGGGGCAGGGGGCGGCGGTGGTTCGCCGTAGGCGTCTTCGATAAAGAGAAGGATGAATGAAAACCAGCACGGGTGATGTATCAGGACCTGTAGGTGTAAGATGACAAGGCTCTTGCGAGGCTCCTGGGTCCTGGGTGTCGTCGCGCGATGTGCAATAAAATCACAAGGCTCCCGATCGAGACCTCTTTACAAGTCGCTCGGAAACGAGGCTCCCGTCCGAGACGCGCTTACAATTCACACGCCAACACCCACAAAACATCCTATTCAATAAAAGACCAGTGGCGGCACAGCCCGGGGAACTCCTGGGGAAGCTGCCAGTACCCCCCTGCAAGAGATGCTCGGTCCTGTTTCAAACCTACACTGGAACCCTACATCAAGACGATACTGCGGAACATGATAACGCAAACCCGCTGGGGTGTTCAGCAATAGTACTCTTCAGACGGATGATTCAACAACAAGAATACGCAGCGTGTAGCGCCCGTCAGGCACGCAGCTTGGGAACATGTGCGACCGCTCGCCCTTCTGCATTCTTCCACACGCACATTCGAACCAAAAAACAAATACGACCCTTAGGCTTCCAGCTGAACGCGTACAATCGGACTTGATTGGACAGGACACGCAAGAGGACAAAAGACCCTTCCGGGGGCCACATTGCCATAGGAATGCAAGAGGCACGGGTCGCGAGACACAGGACACAAGGGTACCCTTGATTTGGCAGGGTCGACCTACTAACTAATCTGGGCCGACTGTAGGTATACTGAATTAGGTTGGCTGAGCTGTGGGGTATAGACTGGGAGTATCCGCGCCTCTGCAGCTCCTCCTCGTTGGGAGCCAAGGCTATCACGTCCTTGTCTGGGTCGAACGCTGTCCCTGTCACCGGGCACTCTTTGATCTTGAGCTCAGCGAGCGTCTTCACGGACACTACGACACCACTTGGCCAGATGAGCACAGCACGCGAGCCGCCTGTATCCAGAATCTCGCGGGTTACAGGGTCAACCATTCGCCTTTCGCCCTCTTCTGTTGCCCACGACAGCGTGCACTGCTTCACATCTTTCAGCGCCCGAATGTGGCTGAGCCTGCTGGGAAGCTTCTTGTTGAGCAGTGCCCCGATGAATGCCTCCTTGTTGTACAGGTTACCAAGACGGCAGGCTACCACTGGCTCGCAGAGGGCCTGCTGCGAAAGAAAGCACTGTGACATGCGTGTCCTGTGACGTTCCAGTGCTCCCATCCCACGGTCCTCGAATAGCTGCTGAGTGTAGTTGGCCATCTCGCCAAGTGAAGCTGCATAACGATCGCCTGCACTTTTTGTGAGCCCGTACCCCTTTGTTCTGACCATGGTCGCTCGGTCGATGACCTGTCCTCCATCTCCCCCCATGGCTGCTTGTTGGCGTTCGCCTTGCCAGTCAGACGCAGAGTGCTGGTTTGGGATGCGTTCCCTGGGCCACCTAAACCAAAACGGCTATGGACCAGTGTTGTAGTTGATGGAGAGGTTCGGGGTGGGGTTGGGTGGGTGTGGTTTCAACTTGACACGGCCAAGAACAATTATAGACCGAGAAGGGAACGGCAATTCATCCTTCTGTAGACGCGTGCGTTGAGAACGCATACGCACGTGACGAAGGGGGCATCCTGGACATGCCATCTCTCAACAATGCTTGTCCCGAGTCCTGCCTGAAGCTGCGCAGACGCGAAACGCACGCTACGTTTGGTAACGGCTTCTACCCGGCAAATTGACAACGTCCAACCTGGAAACGGTCGTGCCCTCTGCTTCTGTTCACGGGTGATGTTCACGGGTATGAGGTGTTCGCGCCGTCAAGTCCAGTGGACTCCAGATGTGAGCTACAGTCTTGCAGCCATCATGTCATCACTGTTCGAAAGAAGGCAATATGAGCTATGCGACTCGAAACACATCCTGTATTCTTGCGTTGTACCAAAAGTTGTGATGGTGGGTGGGCGGGGGACGGGAAGGTTGACGCAAACAGTGGCTGCGGTGTGCACCCCTCAGGGCACGTGCGCAGCACTGGCACACCCAAGGCCTGCGATCACAAATGCGCGCACGCACACGGACACTGCCTGACGTGCGCCGCAACCGCACAACACAAAGAAACTGTCGACCGCCTCGGACTGTGTCCGCGGCCGCTGATCACAAAAACTACGTACATACACTAATAGCGCAGCCTTGAGCAATTACGTACACCATCATGGGCAGCAGCTGGCCAAGGCGGCTGCGGGCCGCCTGCTGAAGGCGAGCTTGAAGGGCGGCGGCCGTCCTGTCGGGGGAAGGAGGGGTCGCAGAGGAAGCCTGCGGCGGCTACGGCGCCGACTGGCCCTCGGACCCACATGTCGAGCTGGCGGTGCAGCGCTGCCGATAACTGAGCCTGCCAGACTGCCTGCCTCAGAAGAAGGCGGTTTGATACAGTGGATTTGTAGGGCCTCGGCAGGGTCTGCTGGGGCGACGATCAGGGACGGCTCCTTCCAATCGCATGGGTTCCCGAAGCCTCCAACGGCCGTTCTTTGACTGTCTGTCGGGCGTGTGGCAGCCGTGGGCGGCGCTCCCAGGAGCCACACAGCCCTCTCTTCGCGCAGCCCGCGCAGCTCTTGCCGGGGCAGCGGCAGCTGTCGCACGGCCCCGGCCGAGAAATATCGGCCCGGGGCGACTCTGCGCCAAAATCGGGCATCCAAGCGGCCTCTGCGGCGAGCCTCCGAAAGTCCAAGGCCGCCCACTGATGAGCAGGCGCTATCGCCCGATCTTGCCTGTGCACTACGGCCAAGCTCCGCCAGGGGCGGCAGATGAAGGCGCGGGATGTCCCGATTGCGAGTTGCAGATACGTGGTGGGGCTGCTGGCGCTGCTTCGGTCCTCCCTGGATCGCCGGCTGCTGAGCCGTGGAGGGGCGCCATAGTCGGGGAGGCGAGGCACCCTGGCCCAGGCAGCAGTCACGATGCTCGCGGCCAATGTGACGCGCTGGAGCGCGAGCTGGCGGCCTTGGCTGCGCAAGTCGATGTGTGGTGTATGCAGGAGGCTCGATTTCCCAGGATGGAGCCGCCGGCGGCTGCTGCTGCGCGGGCCCGCAGGGTGCGGCTGCACCTGGGTCCGGAGCTGGAGGGGGTGTACCTCCTGGCTGCCGCGCACTCGCACAGCAAATGCTCCGCCAGGGCCGAGGCCATGTGTGGCCTCTCTGGCTGGCATCCGGGCCGCCTTCAACACCTCGCGTTTATTTGGGCGGGAGTCGTGCCGTTCACCTCCTCAACCTCTATGGCATATGCTTACGCTGGAGGGCGGAGCGATCAGGAGCGCAACGCCGACTGAATCTTGGAGGGCCTCGAATGGCTCCAGGACCTGGGAGGCGCACCCGCCCTGCTCGTGGGCGACCTGAATTACAGCGTCGCCGACTCGAGCCTGAAGGGTCAGCTGGGCATGGCTCGGCGGCGAGACGTCCTAGCTGTGGCCGGGCCCACATGCACCCCCTCAGATGGGCTAGGGCTGGACCATACGACACCCACGCGGCCCTCTCGGTGGAGTTGCGATCGTTGGCCCCAGAGCGAACTTTCACGAAGCGCTTAGTACAGCGCCTCGTCGAGCGCTGCCATTGTGGGATGGGGGGGTATGGGAGGGCCAGGAGGCCCTCGCTGCGGTGGTCGCAGGATCCTGCACGCCATTCCATGATGCGCTGGGGCTGCACGACGATGAGGCGGCATGGCAGTCGCTTCGCTCGGCCGTGGCGGCGTGGCTGGCGAGTCGGCGGGGGTTCCCTGCAGCTACGTCCCAGCACCACGAGGCTGGCACAATGGTTTCCGACCGGCCGCCGACGCTAAGCTAAGAGGCGGAAGCGCCGCCGCAGGCTAACTCTGCTCTCGTCCGCCACCGTTGACTACGCGTAGGATTGACCCTAGGCTGGAGTGACCTTGAAAGCCCGTGGGGGCCCGACGCAATCGCGCAAGCCGGCGCTGCCGCGCCGCATCAACGATCGGCGGGGCGCCACTCGAATGATTTTCCTGGCCAGCGGGCAACCGCGGAATTTCGCCGATTGAATTCGCGCGCCCGAATGGCACTTCGAAGGCGCTGCGAGAATAGACGCTGCCAAGGGCCGCCGCGATGAGGTATGGCACTGCTGGGTTGCGTCGCGATGACGTCTGACCAGGCCCGGCGTCATGGCCAAAACCGGCCCCATCCGAGTGCCTGGAAGATGGTTGGATATGCTGGGGTGAATTTCAAGTTATCAGTATAAAGATCCCAACTGGTTCGAAAAGCATATTCAAAGATATTCACACCTGTTCAAAGATATTCAAAGATATGCTGAGATATCCAAAACCATTCAAACATACCCAAAGAAATTCAAGCCAGACGTTTTGGGATTTGGGGTGGGATTTGGGACTGGTCCTGGGGCGGAAAACGCGCCGTCTGGTTGACCAGCCCCCTCGGGTAACCAATCCAAGCTGTGGGGTGCGACGCGTATGCGCTGCTGTCGATTGCAAGGGGTGGGCCCAAACCTGGCGCGCTCAGATGCGAGCGTAATCACGCGATGCGGGTGCCGACGCAAGGTCAAGCTCATTCCACAAGAAAAATCCCCCGACACCCTTTGGGCCAGCACCAAAGGTCACTCCGGCGAAGGGTCACTCTTGCGTGTAATCGAAGCTAGCGCGGCCCCCGCTACGCGCAGCGCCGGGCCTCGTTGGCACGCCACGTCGCGCTGTCAACATCAATGGCGCTGCGGCAGGCCGACACCGACAATGGCAGGCAGCGATGGCAAGCCTGCGGCCAGACGTGGAGCTGCCGGACGGCCTGCTAAAGCAGGCGGATGCCGAATGGCGTGCTGTCAAGGCGGCAGCGCGGTCCCCGCGCAGGAAGGTGGCACAGTTAGGCCCAAGAGAGCTTGGCCAACGAACAGGGCCGCCTCTATCGTTGGATCTGGGGCGTGTCGACTCTGGAGGCAGAATTGGTGACCGACCTGGCGTCTGACGCTGCGGCCGCAACAGCCAGCAGCTGGAGCTGGCTCTTGGCGCTCCGTGGCGGCGCAGCGGCGCGCCTCCGCCACTTCGAAGCCCTGGCGCGCACTGTGGCAGCGGCATTCGGTGCCGCCACTTGAGGAGGAGTGGCTTCAGGCTGGATGGCCTTCCGGCATTCCCCGAGCGGGTGCCTTGGGCATCGGGCGTCCTTTCTGCTCCGTGGCATTCCTCGGCGGAGGAAGCCAGGCTTAGACGTTCGGACCGAGAAGAAGCTTCGGCTGCTGCCTCCGGAGCTGCACGGGAGGATCGCCGAGCTGTTCGAGGTGGTCGAGGCCCATGGGCGCTGGCCGAGCGAGCTGGTGGAGCTGGAGGGCCTCCTGCTCCCGAAGCCGGGGGGTGGCGCGAACCCCGTGGACGGGGGCCAGACCTGGCTCCTGCTCATCCTGTGCCGTCTGTGGGCGGCAGTCAGCGCCCGCCCAGTGGCGTTTGCGGTGGGCCAGCGAGGGGAGGTCCAGAGGGTTGCCGAGGAGCTGGCCTGGGAGCTCGCGCTGGAACTGGGGGCGGCGGAGGCGATTTCCGAGACGATCGCCGAGGCGGCACTCGACTGGTGGAAAGCGTACGACCACATCGACCTGGCCTCCCTGCAGACAATTTGGCGCGTGCCGGCATCCCGCAATGGGTGGCGGGCTCGGCCCTGACCCCGCATGCAGCGGCGCCGTGGGTCCGGGTCGGATGCGCCATCCGCGAGCCTTGGTCGTCCGCGAGCGGGCTGGAGCCAACTGCGCGCTAGCCGTCTTCTTCCTGAACGTCCTCGAACTGCCGTGGCAGCGACGCCCGGGGGAGCTGGACGACAGGCCCTGGCGGACCCGGTTGCGTAGAGGACTTCACGCTTCAGGCGCGGGGCAACCAGCTGCCAAGGGCGAGACTGGCGACGTGGCGGAGTCGGTCACTGGCGAGCTGGCCATCTCCGCAGACTTCGGACTCGCCATGCGCTGGGGGCTCAACCGCGACAAAAGCCCGTAGTTCGCCAACACAACTGCGCTCCGCAAATGGCTGGCGGCCCACACCCCTCTGATCCCAACTGGAAGCCAGTTCCGTGACCTCGGGGTGATCGCTGCCGCGGGACGGGTGCCTCGCTGTGCCGTCGCCGGCTCCAGGGTTCGCGCCGCGGGAGTGCGGTTGGCCCGGGTTGAACGGCTCCGCCTGGAGTTCCGAAATCGATGTTGGCGCTGTTGCCGCAGCGCGGCAGGACTGCACGACGCTTCGTGCGGCCGTCCCCCGGCGAGGGAAATGGAAGGGCTGAGAGCGGCGGCGCGGCAGGCAGTGTGCCGACGCGGATTCTGGGCAGCCGTTGAGGTGGTCTTCGGGGGCGGCTGGGCCCAGCGGTGGTTGTCGCACTCGCCCCCTTGTGGCAAGCGGCGATGGCGCTCCGCAGATGGCGCGTTCCTTCGGCACGCTGGCAGGCCACGGAGGGAGCCCAAGCGGCTGGACACGGTCGCGGGGCTGGCACTGTCGCTGCGGCTGCCTGGAGCGAAGCGCAGCTCGGCCTCGGCAACGATATCGAATATTGGGTATGCGTCCTGGCTTGCCCAGGCGGGTGGCGCCCGGCAAGCCACGCGCGCTGTGTTCCTCGCAGCGTGGGCGCGCCGGGAGGCGGCCGCCGTGGCAGGCAGACGGGCAAACTTCGCGAATGTCGCGCGCGGAGTGGACCGCTGGACGACCAGGCGGCTTGGATTCGGGGACCCTCGCGCTGGACGCGGCAAGTGCGCGCCGTGTTGACCGGGAACGTCGTTACGGAGTCGGCGGCGGCGAAGTAGGAAAAGCTGGCCAGGTGTTCCAACTGCGGCGCCGCCTGTGTCGACCGTAAGCACGGGCTCTGGGTCTGTCAAATTTGGGGCGCCGACAGGGCCGCCGCTCTGGCGACGGCGGAGATGTCGCAACCCGCGCTGACCGCTCGGTTACCGCCGGGCGTGGTGAACACGGGCGTGCTGCAGATGGACGTCCAGCTCTTCGCCCTCGCCAAGGAGGCCACCTGGGCCCTGCCGCCAGCGCTGCTCCCTGCGGTCCAGATGCCAACCCCACCACGGCCTCGCAGGAGGGTTTGGTCCGGGCGGCCTGCTGCGTGTGGAAGGGCCCCAAGGCACGAGCGACCACAGCGGGCCTGCGGACGGAGCACAGACTACGCAGCGCGCTGAGCTGTCCACAGAAATCCAGCGGAGTCCACAGAAATCGAAGCGGCCAGCCACAAGAGGCAAGTTTCTTGAAGCGCAGATTCGCCTCAATGCTGGCTCGCACTGCTCTAAATACTTGTCCTATCTCATTCCCTCTCCATCCCCACCCCCCCATACATCATCCTGTGAACATCACGTAGCCTGCGAGCACCGCAACATGCGAGTGAACAGCACTGTCCAACCGCGGCCGCCAAGCGGCGAGGGAATTCAGACCCTGCCAAACATACTAATACGACGGACCCAGCGGGCTAATATGACGGACCCTACCAGCACCGCAATACCCTGCGAGCGCCACATTACGTCTGCAAACAAGAGCAACACATGTGTGAGGCTGTAGAGCGTCACCATATTTGCTTACAAGAACTTTAGGGGGTCTCAACTGGGGCCTATAGCAACCGTGAATAATCCAGAAGTGGCTTACCGTTACGAGGATGTGAACACCAACTACGCCCGGGAATAAAACAACAACTGCAACTTGCCGGGCAACGCTAATGACTCAGTGACGCAAGTGCTAATTCATGGCCAAGCAGACATTGCACGTATTCCCACTAGACGATAACATTACACTGAGATGACGCTTGCGTCCAACACCCCATCGCGACCAACACTTTAACGAATTGTGCGCGATTGCGGCGAACTGCAATTACAATGCATTCAGAATCAAAGCGGCTCAATCTCGTCACGACGACGCCGATTGTTGTCCCACGCACGCAAAAGATCTCACTCGCATCGCTCAGGGTTCCTCTACCTTATCTTTAGCTGATCGCTCGCTCGACTTCGGCAACACTAGCCCAGACGCCGCATCTCTTCGCTTAGATCATGGCTTGCCTGTGATCCTGCTCTAGATGACCTGCGCATGAGGCCTGTCCGTATGCAACTTAAGAGCACACCATGCTTTGGTATGATCTCCACTAAACACTAGTACGCCGCCTGGCGGTTGTCTGAGAGATCCCGCATGCAGATCTGATTGTGCCTGTCTCTCCTCTTTCTCGTCCCCCCGCCTCTTCCCCCTCTCCCTGCCGCCTCCTCTGCCCCCCCCCCCCCCACCGCATCCTCCCATAGCCCTCCCCTCTCCGATAGGGCATCCTTGATGGGTGGTTGGGTCCGATGTTGTAAGGACCTCTCTTGCGAAAACGCTGGTTCGAGAGTGGGAAGCGGGTTGGTGCCCCCATTTCCAGCGTCAGGGGCGCGATTGGGGCGTCACTTCCTCGCGCACCAGGGGGCAGTGGTCAGGATGACGTAAGTTCACAAGAACACCCCCTCACACTACCCCAAGTCCAATGTCGATATGGCGGCAGACTGCAGCTTGTCCAGCCCAGTCCTACTGAAATTCGCCGGCCCAACGGGCCAGAGGCGTGCTAAGATCTCCGGTGACTGCTTTACAATCTTTCTACTTCGCGCGCGCGGGGCGGCCCCTGGGGGCCCCCGGGCGGAAAGTACCCCGGCAAGGTCCCGAGAGAGTCCCGGGAGGAGTCACCAGGGCGCTCCAGCAGCGCACCAACGCGGCTCCGAGACGTCCCCGAGAGCCCCAAGAAGGGCCAAGAGGCTTCCAAGAGGCCCCCAAGATGCTACATGAGGGGTCCGAGATGCCACAAGATCGCTCCAAGACGCCCACGATGGCCCCCAGACGCCCCAAGAGGCCTCCAAGAGCACTCCCGAGAGGGCCCCAAGAGGCAAAATTCACTGCTTTTCCTTAGGTTTTGGAGAGATTTTGGCGTTTCCACCTTTTCGGCTTCACGACACCCCAAGACGGCCCAAGAGGCCCCCAAGACCGCCCCAAGAGGGCCCAAGAGGCCCCCAAGAGGGCCCCAAGACGGCCCAAGAGGGCTCCAAGACGGCCCAAGAGGCCTCCAAGACGGCCCAAGAGGGCCCCAAGAACGCCCCAAGAGGGACCCCAGGGGGGGAACACGAAACAATATTTCGAGCCCTCGGCCCTCAGAAGTCCCCAGGAGGCCCCAAGAGGCCCCTAAGAGGCCCCAAGAGGCCCCCAACAGGCCCTCAGGAGGCCCCCAAGAGGCCCCCAAGCGGCCCCAGGAGGCCACCCAAATGCCCCCCCGAGCACGCAAGCAAGTGCCAGCGACGCTACACTATGGGCCGGCGGAATGAGCGAAGCGATTCAATAAGCTCGATGCCAAGCTCAAAACGGTCCTCGTGATTGCATGAAATCGCTAGGGCTGCCTTTTCTGCCATCACGCCGCTGCAGCCACTGCAGTCTCATCCGCACGTGCCAGCTCTACCTCGGTCGGGCGGGGACGATAAGCTGGGGATGGTGGATACGGCGCGGAGGAAGACCACTAGGAACAGAAACAAATGGTATAGAGGAAGCATGGAAAAAAGGTTCAGGGTTGCAGCTCATCGAAGGTTGCGAGGGTCAAGGACGACATCGCCAAACGACTTCAATCGAAATCCCGATTGGCACGCCAGACAGGCTGTTTGCCATTCACGTTTGTTCTCTGTCTCCTCATTTGCCTCGTCTTCGATACGCGTGACAACTGTAAGCCTGTTCTGTAATCCCAAGATTTCCGATGCTCACCACAGCGGAAATTCTTTTCACGGCAGCTTGGATGACACACACACACACATACACACACACACCTGGTGGTGGGGTCCGAAATACCACCAGCCCTTTGGGCGTAGGTGGTTGAACGCGTTTTGTTCTGGTTCTTTCATAACCCCTTCTCCCACTGCTCCCTATTGATGCACACCCCCTCCCCGAGGCGACCGGCAGCCACCCAGAACCAATGAGGGCAAATTTGTGGGTCATGATCTGGGGGGCCGCGAACAATTTGTATTGTTTGTGGGCAGGGGCGGCGGGGGTGCCGGCACATTGCCTGCCATGCGCAGGGCAAACACCCGTATCGAAAGACAATGCAAAATGCACTTCGAAGACGAAACCTGGATCATGCTCGGGCACCCCACGATCACTGTGCATGAGTTTTTGACTGAGACGGCGGGGGTGCTGGCATATTGCCTGCTATGTGCAGGCCCACCATACGCTATGATGGCCACCCCGCCGAGATTGCGCACTGCTTTTCGACAAGGGTGGTGGGGGCTGGCACGTTTCCCGATGTGTACTGCCACGTGCGCGAGCTCACCTGGCACACACTGCCCGTGCCCCTGACGTGGCGCACCTGGCGCCTGGAGCATGCGGCACACATGACGCATGTGGATCACGTGACGCATCTGGCACACCAGGCGTGCCCGGCACGCTTGGGCCACAGGAGTGCCTGGCGCACCTGGCGCGCCTGGCACGTCTGGAGCGTTGCGCACATGGGGTCTGTTTTGGTTCACATTCGCAGTCCGTCCAAAGATCTCCGCTGAACACGCTGCGGCTCGGGTGCTACTTATGTGTTTGGAAGGCGGGTGGGAGTGAACGAGGCGGCTTGCGGGCGGGGAGGGTGTCTTGACCCTTCCCCCCCCATTCTGCTGGGCCTGGGAGGGGGAGGGCCCGAGGGGTTAGAGCATCCAAGATGGCCCAAGACGATGGCTCCAAGAGGACCTTCGGCAGCCCAAGACAGCCTCTACGATGGCTCAAGATAGCCGAACGTGGCTTAAAGTAGCCTCCGACATACCTCCAAGATGCTTCAGGACAGCCCCAAGAGGGATCCAAATGCCCTTCGAGCCTTCCGATGCACCCTCCAAGAAACCAAAAGTATTCAACACTTTACGGAGACCGATGTTGTTTGCCATCTTGCTGTTTCAGGTCCGATGGGCCGCTGAAGCCTCAAGATAACCCCAAAAACGATTTCAGCTTCGGCGGCAGCCTCCCCGGGTCCCGCCCAGACCCCCCTGAGGAGTCATGATGCTCTATTTTGAGACCACTAGAAACCTATCAGCAAGAGCTGTTAGGTAAAATTGAAACCAGTTCCCCTCCCCACTCCCCATCCCCCTACCGTTTCCCCCCTGCCTCTCCCGCGCAACAAGGGAAGAGGAGGGATACGACTCCCCCCCCCCCCGTGCAGAGGGTGATAGGGAAGGACTGCGACAACTAGAAAAGACTGGGTGCAAAAGAACTGTAATACTATTGCCGTTTACGCCTCGCTGGGGACAGCCTACCAAACCCCCAAAACCTAACCCCAACCGCAATTGGGGTTCTTATTGTCCCGGTTGCGTTATACGTGTAAGTAAACTTCGATCCGACCGCGGATGAGGGTATGGTTGCTCCATCGACAGAAAGAGTAACTACAAACCAATTGCAGCAACGTTGGATTACGCCTTGTGTTATGGCCATGGTTGTTGCAACATGACGTGTACTGCTCGAAACACAGTCGTAGCCCCAATCCCGCACACGTCTGCCCTGGGAGGTGGCTCAGGCTATGTTTATTTGTATACGCTTACCTGGCAGAGCCAATGCCTACAACATCATATCGTTGTCGTGGCCAACGTTTGGATTGCAGTCGATGCCCACATCCCTGACCATAAGGCTTCCCTCGGAGGCGGAACAACAGCTGCTAAATGACACATTTGTATCTGAAAGCCCTTGGTGTACTTCTGCAGCGATAGCCACAGGCCAAATCGCGATTCAGACACTGTTCTTGGTTCTGGGCAATCTTGTGCGGCACCGACACTCGTGGCAAATTAACTCACGCAGGCACAGTACAACGTATTTCTGGACACTCTGCAACAGTATCAATCCGACAGGCGCATGACGCGTATGGCGGGCGAGGAGGGCGACGAGCAGGAGCAGGGACGTACTCGTTCTCGAAGCGGTGCTCGGTCCAGGGGAATCTTGCTTGCGGTACCGAGTCCAGTGTGCTGGGTGTGTCGGACATTCGGCTGGTGCCTGGCCGTGGGCACCGCGTGGGCGCCTCGTGTGTCGCTTTGTGCCAGCGCCCGCCCGTGGGCGTCTCGTGGGCGCCTCGTACGCTGGCTGGGTCGGGGTGGGGGGGGCCTCTCCGTCGCCACGCGCAGGCGCCTCACGGGCGCCACATGGCTTCCGCCACAGAGCTTGCACCACATAGCTTGAACCACACAGCTTACACCACACACGCTGCACAACATAGCTTGCACAATGTTGGGGCGCAGCTTGCACCATGCAGCATGCACCACATGCCTCACGCAACATACATTTAACCACTTGGTTTGCAACATTCAGCTTGCCGTGCATGACTTGCACCACATGGCTTGCACCACACAGATTCCACGGACAAGCTTAGACTACAACCTTGCATCACATCTGTTATACCACCTGGCGACCAACATAGTTTAAAACACATCGCTTGCACCACGATGTTTGTGCGTCCAGAGTGCAAGAACTCACGTTGGGGAGTCCACGCAGGCAAAGCCCTTCTGGTGAACGACTTGTTCAAGTAAATCGGGAGAACTACGATTCGGGACCTGCTCCCCATCTGGACAGCTCGTCAATGGAATCCATTTCGCCTGCTCCTCCACGGCTTGGACCTCCTCGCCATGCGCAATACGTTGCACCATAGGCTGCGCCAAAGGTGCACTAAACGTTGCGCCATAGGTTTCGCCACAGGTTGCACCATATATCACGCACTAAGTGCATCATCGCTTACGCCATAGGAACACGATGTGCTACAGAGTAGGCGGGGCCCAGTATGTTATGCCCACAGCTTGTGGCATAGGATGCACAATAGGTTGTGCCAGGGGGGGAACCATATGTTGAGCGACTTGATGCGCCATGCTGTGTACCACTAGTTGCACATGAGTTGCGACACCGAATGCAAGATGTGCACCGTAGACTGCTCAGTGCGTGCACCGTGTGATGCGCCATGGGTTGCGCAAAAAGCACCACTATACGTCTGTGGGTGCATCACAAGTTGTCAAACGTGCTGCGCCATCAATTGCATAAGGCGTGGTTCCTGGTTCCTTGAGGCGTGGATGAATGCCGAAGGCTGCCTGGCAGGGCTCCTGTAGTCGCCTGAGGGTCCCCCTACCCTCTGGGCAGCGCTCAGTCGCCTGCACCCCCCCCCCTCCCAAGGGTCCCTGGGCGACCATGACATGGCCCCTCCCTGGGGCTCTCCAAAGCTTCCACAGCGGCTCAGGAAGGCGACCACGAACTCGAAGATGGCCCAACATGTCTCCAAGACGGCCGAAGACTCGACGACGGCCCCAAGATGGCCTCAATCTGCTTCAAAGAAGCTTCCAAGAGCTCCAAGAGATCACTCTTGAAGGCCCGAAGGAACAAGCATTACATGGGTTTCGGGGCTTACCTGTCCGGGCTTCCCCCCGCTCAAGACGGCCTAGTAGGTCTCCATGATGCCCCCAGTTCGGCCCAAGAGGCTTCTCACATGGCCCCGCGAGGGCCAAAGTGAGCCCCAAGACGGCCCCAGGGCCCTCCAAGACGGCCTCGAAACGGCCTACTGTCGCTCTCCGAGGCGGCATGTTCTTCCAGAAAGTTTCCAAGATGGCCCAGATGGCTTCCCAGATGACCGCATCTAGAGCAAACATACATTCGCAATATTTCTCCAGCCGATCTCCCTCTCCTCCCTCTCCTTCCGCTCCTCGGCTAGTCCTATAACCTTGTGAACATAATCCCACCAGCCCTTTGGGCGTGAGTGGTTTAGAGAGCCCGCTCTGTCCTCAACCCCACTTCTTCCCCTTCGGGGAGGGGTTTACCCCTCCCCCTACCCCCTCCCCCTGGACCTGGAGAGGGAGTCCCGAGTGTCGTCAGGGGAGTCTTTTTCGACGCCTGGGAGGGCAAAAAAACGACGACCCTCACACGGATTCTGGCCCCGAGGGGGGGGAGGCAGTTTGGCGCCTCAGCTCTTCGTTGAAGCAAAAAACATTGATTTTACTAAGGTTTTGGCTCAATTTTGGCCTTCTGAGGGGGCCGCGTTCCTCTTCCTTCATAGCAAAATCATTGATTTTACGAAGGTTCTGGGCTCATTTTGTCCCTCTCAGGGGTCAGCGCTTATTTGCGCTTCTGAGGAGGTCGCAAGAGGCCCCAAGATAGCCCCAAGAGGCCCCCAGGAGTCTCCCAAGAGGCCTCCAGGAGGCCCCCAAGAGGCCCCCAAGAGGTCCCAAGAGGTCCCCAAGAGGCTCCCAAGAGGCCCCCAAGAGGCCCAAGAGGCTCCAAGAGGCCCCCAAGACGCCCCCAAGAGGCCCCCAAGAGGCCCCCAAGAGGCCCCAAGAGGCTCCAAGAGGCCCCCATGAGGCCCCACGAGGAGCCCGAACGACTCACACCAGGACGAGGGGCCCGAACGACTCACACCACGAAGAGCCCGAACGACTCACACCACAAGGAGGGGCCCGAACGACTCACACCAGGACGAGGCGCCCGAACGACTCACACCACGAGGAGCCCGAACGACTCACACCACGACGCGGGCCCCGAACGACTCACACCACGAGGAGCCCGAACGAGTCACACCAGGAGGAGGGGCCCGAACGACTCACACCAGGATGAGGGGCCCGAACAACTCACACCACGAGAAGCCCGAACGACTCACACCAGGACGAAGACCCCCAACGACTCACACCACGAAGAGCCCGAACGACTCACACCAGGAAGAAGGGCCCGAACGACTCACACCAGGACGAGAAAACCCAAACGACTCAAATCACGAGGAGCGCTTTCTCTCCCTCCTTCTCCGCCTCGTCCTTCTCCCGCTCCCCCCACAAGGAGGATGTACAAGGAGGCGGGAGGAATGAGGAACAGGGGAGATATGCGGGGCCAAGCGGACACACGCCTGAAAAACACGACTGTTGGCATGCTTCGCAAGAGTTGCTGCTGTGAAATGGGCTGGTGGGGATACGCGAAGCGTAAAGAATATTCCAATCATCCTCCTCAATCTTCCCAGCTAGAGTGGTCACCGTGCCTAGTTACCTCTCCAGCCGGGATCCCTCTCCTTTCTCTCACTCTCCTCAATTAGAACGGTCAACTTGTTCCACATACCTTCCCAACCGATCGTTCCTCCACTGGGGCAATATTATTTCTCAAGCTACCTTTCAAGAGAGCCTCTGTTGTTTACCTCCTCGACTAGAATGAGAACATGTCAACATGTCCATCCTAACCACCCAACCAAGATTAACATCCTCCTTCTCCTCTAGAGCCCGCATCTTTTCAAATGTATCTTAAGAAACTTACCAGACGGCCACGATGGCCCCAACTTCCCCCCGCCCCCACAGAATGCTCCTCTGACCGTACACGCGACGACCCCCTGTCCCAGTTCTTGTCTGTTCTTACAAGCCGCCGGTGCTGTTAAACGCATTACAAATAGGAGTGTGAAGCACAGGGATGTCTGCAAAACAGCAAACCTCCTGTCCCACTGTTGCTTCTTTTCAATTCCTCCACTTCCCTGGCCCCAACTTGGCACAAGGGAGACTCAAGACGGCCCAACAGAACCGGAACGCGGCCCAAGAGAGCCCAAGTTGCCCCCACGACTGCCACACAGGAACCCCAAGCAACCCGAAAACGGCCCAAGTGAGCTCCATAAGAGCTCCGACCTAGGTTGAAAAAGCGACACATTTGACAGCCTTCTTCTTCCTCTTCCTCCTCCTCATCCTCATCTTCGTGCTCGCCATCGTAATCATCACCACCACTATCACCATCACCAACATCCTTCGAACAATCGCAGGCCGAAGTAGTGGGCCGACACGGTGGAGGGACTTGCCGCAGGCGGCTCAATAATGCGCCATACGTTGCCCCACATGTGCACGATAGGATGCGTCATAGTTGCACAATAGGTTGCGCAATACATTGCGCCACATGTTGCGCCATAGGTTTCGGCACAGGCTGCACCACGGGTTGAATCATGAGGTTGGTTGCACAATAGCTTGCACCATAGGGCACCCTGGATTGTGCCAGATGTCCTTCGGCCAGAGGTGTACCATATACTGCTCCAGAGGTTGCGACATAGGTGGCACCATAGCCATTGTTGTCATTAGTTGCGGCATGGACTGCGGCATGGATTGCGGCATGAGTTGCGGCACCAGTTGCACCATCATGCATGCCATAGGTTGCACCACGGATTTCGCCATGGGTTGCGCTCTAGGCAACATCAAATTCCGTCGCATGTTTCACCCTTGGGCCCCCCAAAAAGAATCGTCGGCTACGGCTAACGAATGCAGCCAAATCAGTCGAGTCATTCAATCGGACAAGTCAGTCGGTCCAGTCCAGCTCGATTTCAGTCAAGCTGACCTTCCGAGAACCAAATGGGTCTTCGCCCGAACATGACATCGGGACAGTCTGGCGTGTGACTTAGTGCAGGCCAGGAACACTCTCGAAGCACGGTCGCAACAGACAGTTTCGCCGACTTCAGCGAGCCCCAAATGCAGATACGGTCGCCTTGACGTTCTCCTCCTCGGCAGCCGCCGCACGCTTCTTCTCCAGCTTCGCCTGCGAAACCCATCCCCCAAAGAGCACAAACGGCTTTAGACAAGAACAGATAATGGAAGCATGGGAAACTAACCAGCAATGACATATAACCCGCCCGAGTCACTCATTTCCGGCACGCGTGGTCATACTCCACCAACCGCCTGGTCGCATGTGGTTTGGATCTTTTGTACGTTCAACCCCCTGCTTTTCCTCTTTGGGCAGGGTTTTGCCATGGTAGTAAACACCCCTTCCCCACCCGAACGTCCGCCAACCAGGAGCTATGCGAGCACCCCACCATCCCTGTCGAAAACAATACAACGTGCACGTGGCGGAAAAATCTGGATCGTGAGCGGGACCCCCGCAATCACTTTGCATTTACTCCCAACCATCCTGTGGTGTCGGGTGCTCGCTTGGGATACGCAGCGCCCCGCGTCTCACCTCCCTCCCGCTAAACCCATCCCTCCCCCAATCCCTGCCGCTGCTCTCCGCGTGCCCTTTCGGCACGCCCCTCAAACGCTGCGTGGTCCCATAGGGAGCTCCACCCAAGGCCCCAGCTGCACAGTCCGCATGAGGTTCCACCCCCATTTCGGCGCACCCCTCACATGCAAGTTTCGTAGCCGCTCCCTGGGGAGCTCCACCGAAGGCCCACTTGGCACAGTCCGCATGCGCCTCCCCCCTTATTTCGGCGCATCCCTTTCACATTTCTGGTCCCTGTAGGGACCTCCACCGAAGACCGCGGTGGCACAGCGCGGATGCGGTTCCCCCTCCCCACGTCGGCGCACCCCTGGCATATTTCGTGGCCCCTACGGAGAGCTCCATCAGTGCGCATGCAATTCCACTTCCTATGTCGGCGCACCCCTCATACGTTCCGTGGCCTCAGAAGGGGGCGTCACTGACGACCCCAGGGGCGTTGCCCGCATGCGGTCACCCCCCCTTCGGCACACTCCTCACACGTTGCGTGGCACCATCGGCCACCCCACGTGGCCCCACAAGGAGCTCCACCGGACCTCACGCGAGTCGTGGTCCCAAGGGGAGCGCCCCCTGCTTTGTCCAAGCTGCCTTGTTGTACTCAAACTTGCATAGTGCCTTTCGCCCAGATAATGTTTGACAGGAGTGGCTGGTGGGTGAGCATACTTGTCCGTTGTGCGCTGTCCCAACGTCCTTGTCAAAAACCATTGCGAAGCCATTGCGGGTGCACGCACACACAAAAATACTTTTTGCGTCGGCGGCTAGGCAAAGTGGCGGAAGAGCAACAAGTGGACGAACAATTGCGAATTAAGCCGCAATGCACGGGGGAAAGAGGAGGAACGCCCGGCGACGGCGGGAAGGAGGAGGAACCCCGGCCCGCTCACAGCGGGGCCAGTCGGCGGCGGGGGGCGGCGCCGGGGGGCCAGCGGCGGTGAGGCGGCAGCTGGGGGGTAGGCCAGCCCGGCGGCAACCAGGGGCAGGCGCCCAGGGGGAGCAGTGCCCAGCGCCCAGGGGGTGAACGCGAGAAAGCAGAGTAGCCAAGGGCGCCGAGGTCATAAGTGACCTGCTTAGCATCTGACAGGGAGGGGCACCGATCAGATGCGCCAAGTGAACGAAGATCACCCAGCAGAAGCCTCGGGAGGGCGCAATAGAGCTGTCCAGCTGGCCAAGACAAGCAAGCTGAAGCAGAGACGAGCAGGGCGAGGGAGCGTCCCGGGAGGCCCTCCTGGGCCGTCCTGGGGCTGTCTCAGCCGTCCTCGGGCGTCCTTGGGCGCCTCTTGGGGCTTTTTGACCGCTCCGATGTCCAACGGAGGTGACATCTTGAACATGTACGTATTACGAAGGAATGGGGCCATTTTTGTCTCCCGGGGCGCTCTGCGGGAGCCTTTTGGCGGCCTCTTGGGGCGGCTTGAGGGCCTCTTGGCCCTTCTGGAAGCGGTCGTTGGCGGTCTTGAAGCGAACCTGGAGTTCTCTCGGCGCTGTTGGAGCCTTCTTGGGCGGACTGGAGCGCGCGGGGGCCGCTGGAGGGGCGTCCCGGGAGAAGGCCACTACGTATGTACAAGAGGGGTTCCGGCCCGGGGCCCGGGGCCCGGGAACTCCCATATATGTGTAGAATTGTGTATGTATATATATATATGTGTGTGTATATATATATGTTTATACATATATAAATACATACATCTGTACATATATACATATACACATACACATACATACATACACACATACATACATACATACACACATACATACATACATACATACATACATACATACATACATACATACATACAAGCAAACGTACGTACGTACGTACGTACGTACGTACACACATACATACATACACGCATACATGTATGTACGTATGTATGTATGTATGTTGGTCGGTCTGTATGTCTGTATGTATGTATGTGTATATATACACACCTGCACTTGAATAAATAATTATATATACATATGCACATTCCCAACACATGTTGCAAACACACAAAAGCGCTGTATGCTTCGTGGCTCTCGATGTTGAATTCCACGCGAGATCAGGGAGGTGCTCGCGAAATGCCGGCATGCGCGCGCGACGACGCGCGCGTGCACCTCGTCACTTCGTGCCGTTGTTGCTTGTTGTGTGTTCAGTTGTTCTCTCATGTTCCAAGGGGTGTTTGCACATGGGTGGTATTTTTTTATATAAACAAACGACTGCACACGCATAATCTGATGCAGAGGATGAGGGGGGAAAGTGGGGGGCGATGCTGGCGATTGGCGATCGGGCAGAACCGCGCGTGAATTTCACATGCGACAAGAGAAGCCGTTAACCCTGGGGGCGGAGGGGGTGATCCGATTTTTCCTTGCGTGCCCCATGCCCACGCAAACGCCCCACCCACCCACCCGCAACTTGATTGGCAAAACCCACGCGGCGGCGATTGCGATGAGCGCGCAACGTTAACTGGTGCATCTCCTCGGCCGCGCTAGCCCGCGCATGCTCGCGCGCGCAGCAACCAGCCAGTGAGTCGCGACCAACGCGGTCGCGGTGGCGCTGGCCGCTGGGCACTTCCCAACGAGCTCACCAGTGCGAGTCGGTGACCTGGACGGGCGCGGTTTTTTGGCGACGCCGACTACGGCAGACGCGATGATGAGAGTAGCGATGATGGTGGCGACGGTGGCGATGGCGACGGCAAGTCCAATGGTGGCGCCGATGTTGATCACGCCCGACGATGACGGCGACGATGTCCTCGCGGCAGCCATGAAGGCGTTTTGCAGGAGTGCGACATGCGCGCGAAGCCGACGCGCGCGAGTGGCCCGCTCGGCATTATGCAGCGCGGATCGCCCCCCCCCCCCCCAGGAACGCGCGCGAGGGCGTTCGAACGAGTTCGACGAGCGGCGCCAGAAGCCCGCTTGGTAGCATTAACCACCGGACAACGCTGAAAACGAAAACCAATGGCTTTGCCAAGAACCCGCAAGACCGCGAGCGCAAGGTGACTTTGACAACTGGCGTTGCAGAAGTTCTGATATATGTTCGGGGCGCTCGTTTTTGACATCCCACATGCGAAGCGACACATTCGGGAGGGATTCTGGCATGCGCGCGCGACGACGCGCGCGCGAACCCTTCTTCCATATTTGTGCTCGGGGTTCTTGCGACAGCACGCGCGCAGGGGCGCTCGAACGATTTCGACATGAGCGCGCGAGAGGCCCGCCTGGCAGCGTTCAATGAATATGCTGAGAAACAAATGGTTTTCTTAAGAAATCGCAGAGGCGTGGGCGCATGTATTCTTTGAAAACCATGGTTGCGACATGCGCGCAAGGGCGCTCGAGTGAGTTCGGCGCCTGGCGCGGGGGGGCCGTTTGGCAGAATCCGACGAAAAGGTTGAAACCCTTGGTTTTCTGAAGGATCTGCAAGGCAGCGGGCACAGAATTAGTTTGAAAACCGAGGTTGCAAAACCGTGCATGTTTATATGTTTTCGGGGCACTCGTTGCTGAAACCCTTGCGAAACTTAGGGTTGTCCAAAGATCTCGCCGCGCGCGCTTTTCGTCGCATGTCGTTGCGAAGGGGTTCGTGCGAGAACGCGCGCGCAAAGGCGTTCAAACGATTTCGAGACGCGCGCGCGAGAAGCTTTTTGGTAGCATTGTATGGACACGATGAAAACAAGTGGTTTTTCTTGTTAGAATTCGCAAGAGTGCGGGCGCAGGCATTGTTTGAAAACTCTCGATGCGAAACCATATGGTTTGGGCTTGTTCTCGTGGCCGTCGATTTCGAAACCCGCGCGCAACGTGGAGTTTATTTTCGGGCGTCGCCCGCATTTGTTGCTCGCGAGGTAAACTGGCAAGGCTGGGCTGGACTGGATTGGGCTGCAGCGAACTGAACAAAACCGAACTGAACTGACTGGTCGCACTCGTTACGTGACGTTTGAATTCTCGGCGACAGAGGGCGCAACCTATGGCGCAACAAATGGGGGGCGGTTTTATTGTCGGCCGCCGAAGGCGCAACCTATGGCGCAAACAATAGGAAACGGCTTTACTGCTGGCGGCCAGGGGCGCAACCTATGGCGCAAGCATTAAGAGACGGTTGTATTTTCGGCCGCAGAGGGCGCAACCGACAGCGCAACGAACAGGAAACGGTTTCCGCAGTGGCGGTCGAGGGCGCAAACTATGGCGCAACCACTCAGGGACGGTTTTATACTCGGTCACCGAGGGCGCAACGCATGGCGCAACTGATAGGAGGGGGCTTTCTCGGTGACCGAAGGCGCAACCTATGGCGCAAGCAATAAGAGACAATTTTTTCTCGGCGGCCGAGGGCGCAATCTATGGCGAAACCCATCGAAGACGGTTTTATTCTCGGCGGCCCAGGGTACATCCTATGGCGCAACCGATCGGAGACGGTGTAATCTCGGCCGCCAAAGGCGCAACCCATTGAGCAACCTATGCGGGATGCGGGACGGGTTTGGTCTCGGCTTTCGAGGGCGCCACCGATGGTCCAACCAATAGGAGACTGTTGTATTCTCGGCCGCAACGGGCGCAACGTATGGCGCAACCCATCGGAGACGGTTTTACAGTTGGCGGCCGGGGGCGCAACCTATGGCGCAACCGCTAAGACACGGTTTTACTCTTGGCCGCCGAGGGCGCAACCCATGGCGCAACGAACAAGAAACGGTTTAGGGCGCCACCTATGGCACAAGCAATCGGGGACGTTTTTATTCACGACCGCCGAGGGCGCAACGCTTGTTGACGCGACCAGTAGGAGATGTTTCATATGTTTGGCTGCCGGGGCGTAACCTATGGCGCAACCGATGGGAGAGGGTCGTATTCTCGGCCGCCGAAGGGTCAACCTATGGCGCAACCAGTAGGAGACGGCTTGGCTCTCGGCGGCCGAGGGCGCAATCTATAGCGAAACCAAAAGGAAACGGTTGTATCCTCGGCGGCTGAGGGCGCCACCTATGGCGCACCCGATAAGAGACGGATATATTCTCGGCGGCCGAAGGCGCAACCGCGGTGTGCCCCTGGTTCGACCAGGACGCTGTCAACGCACTCACCGTGCTGGGGGCCCGCGAGCAGTACGAGGACGAAGCGTGGGACACCAAATGCGTGAGGGGCTACCCCCGATTTAGGCTCGCCGTTTGGGCTGGCGGTGGGGCCCAAGCGGCGAGGCGTTTTCTGATTTTACAGATTTCGGCATGCATGCGCAATGACGCGCGCGTGTGCGCATCGTCTCGTTTTTGTTCGAACAGATTTTTGAAAACGCATAATGTTTGATATACGCGTGCGCGCGCATCGTACTTTCTGCAAGGGATGAACGGGGGGTGCGAACTTCGGACTGGCTGGGATGGGACGAACTCATATCTAGGATGGACGATGAGGCAGAATCGAATGTAAATTGCACATCCCTCGGGGGTACTGATAAGTCCGGGCTCGGGCGGGTGTTGGATCATATTTCTTTTATTAGAAAGGAGAGAATCCAGAGCACCGCATGTACATGTAAAACAGCGCGCAGCAAGGAGAACAAAGAAGTGTACATCAGAGCATCGAGTGTAACGCAAAGCGACTCAACTCAATGCAACGCAACGCAAAGCAATACAAAGCGATGCAAAGCGATGCAGAGCAATGCGAAGCAATGCAAAGCAATGCAAAGCAATGCAAAGCAATGCAAAGCAACAAAAGGCAATGCGGAGCACTGCGAAGCGGGCGGCGACGAGGCGATGGGCGGCGACGAGGCGGCGACATGGAGGCCAGAGCGGACCGCAGGCCCAGGCGACGGGCGGCGACGAGGCGGCGACGGTGGCGACATGGCAGCGAGAGCGGCGCGCAGGTCCCGGCGATTGGCGGCGACGAGACGGCGACGGGTCGCTGACGGCAGCTACATAGCCGCCGGACCGCCGCGCAAGCCCAGTCCCTTAGCAAATACATAAGAACTCCTATGTGCAAGCGCTGCTGGGGAACCTTCATCCCAACGCCGTCGCAGTGCGGCATCCCGTCACCATCAGCCCCCCCCCCCGAAATCACCACCATCCATCACCCAAAATCACCAACACCATCGTTCGATTCCGAATCGAACTGGATTTACCGCAAATGCTCGCCTCTGTAGTTCCGCGACGCGCCAGCCCAGGGGCGCCGAGCACTCCAAATCCCAAGTGTCTCCACAATTGCGCGTGTGTGTATTGACCCTTATGCCTTGTATGTGTGCGTTGTGTGTGATCGGGTATCCGGTATCCGTGCCTGTATTGTTTGTCAGGTTAGTGTCCCACTCTTCTGACACTCTTGCGTTCTCTCATCATCCTATTATGCGGCTCGCGCCGTCAATCATGCCTGCAAGCAAGGTACGCTGATGTTGACAAGACAGCAAAAGGCGATACCTGTGCGGACGACGCGAGTCGATGTGCTTTCAGTGAAAAGCAGAGCATTTCTCCGAGACAGTATATTTGCGTTTCGACTTGCTATGGGTGATCCGCCTCCCTCCTCCCCCTCCTGCTTCTCCACATCCCCAGGAGGATCAATCGTCGTCATCCTCCTCTTCCTCCTCTTCCTCCTCCGCCTCTGTGCATGCTCATCTTCTCCGTCCGTTTCCCACTGTGCACCTCCATGTCCCTGGGCTCCCCTCCTTCTTCTTATTCGAGCGCTGCGAGCCAGAGCCCGGGACGCGCTGCTCAACGCCAAAGAGCTCAAGGAGGCCGACATCATCGGGAAGCTGCTCCTCGGCGAAGTGAAGGACGGGACGAAGCGGACGAAGCTAAGTAATCTGAGTAGGAGCAGGCGGAAGAGGAGGGGGAGGAGGAGGAGGAGGAGGAGGAGAAAGAGGAGGAGGAGGAGGAGGAGGAGAAAGATAAGGATCACCAGGAGAATACGGCAGACGACCGCATGCACCAGGAGCAAGCGGCAGATGACGAGACCAAAACGGGGGGATAATGTTGATGGTAATGGGATCAAGCGTTGCAGCGAGGTGGAAAAGAAGGAATTGGCGGAGGGAGAATGAGAAATACGCGCGCGGGGAATGAATGAGAAGGAGGATGAGGAGGAGGAGGAGGAGGAGGAGGAGAAGGAGGAGGAAGGGGGGGGTAATGGAGAGAGGGAGGCAAGATCTTCCCTCCCCGTGATGGAGCACCGCTACACCTTCCGAGAAGAGATAGCGGACAGGCGGTGGAGGGTGGTGGTAACAAACATCGCTCCCAGACGAGACTGGCACCTAACTCACCAACCAACAAGCCCACAGGTGTTCAAGTGGTACAGCTGCAACACAAAGCGTGCACAGGTGGATCCATAGCTGGCGAGAGCGCTGGGGTACGACAGCGACTCCGTCAGCGCCGATGACCCTCAAGCGAAGAATCGTCGGTAGGCAAGTGAACACTCTTATAATGCCTTGTACAAGGTGCCCAAGTACCTGTTTGTAGCGCGCGCAGAAGGAAATCAGAGAACATTGCACGTGGACGGCGTTCGGGGGCATGCGCTACAAACGCATCAATTGAAAGAGCTGCATGGAACAAACGGAAGCACAGGGATAAGCCTCTGGTTCGCTCTCGTAGTCCGCGTCATCGATCTGCCAATCGCTGTCTGCATCAGAGAAGTCCTCTGGGCCTCCACGTACAGTTGGGAGAGAGCACGCAGGAGAGGGAGGAGGGGAGAGACGAGTGATGCGCAACAATGCGCAAAAAGCAGGAAAGAGCGAAATTTGGGGTGAAGGAAAGAAGGGATAACGGATCGGAGGAACGGAGGGGAGCGGGAGGGGCGTCGGGTCGTTAGCGGTGGAGGGTGGTAGACAGACTGAGGAGTGAGTTCTTCGTAACCCTGAGAACCACGCGACCGAGCCGATCTGGGACGCCGGCGCAACATCCTCGTCCTCCTCACCCTGTTCCCTCCCAGGTAGCGACGACGGCCCCCACTTCGGAACAGTGGCTAACATTGTATCCGAAACGCGGCCGCCGCTAGCGCGCGCGGGCTAGCCTAGCATACATGCTCTCGCGCGGAACGCGGGCACGCAAGTGCCATCCTTCGCCTTGAGGCGGCCCGACGTCGCCTCCAACGACAGCACAACCGACAAGGCGGAATCATGGTGGCATGGGCACTATGGCGTCGGCGGGGCCGGCAGCGGACCGCCCAAGGACGTGAAGACCGTTCAGCGCGCGCAACGGCACCAGTGGCAGACAGAGGTCTGTAGTGCACTGGGTCCTCGTGCACGCGCATCCTGTCGAAGCAACGGTCCTTCATGTTGGTGGTGGCCACTGGCGCAGTGAAACGTCCACGCAGCTCCAACTCGATGCGTCCGGAGCCCTCGCTGCTGAGCAACAGCACACCGGGGGGGGTCTCTGAAATGGGCGGTGCTTCACATGGCGCCGATGATTACTGTCATCCTTACCGCCCCTGGAGATCTCCTTTTCAGAAGACGAGCATCAACTTGGCCCTCTCGAGTATGTTGGCCCTTCAGATTGCCGCACCCTGTTCAGATTGCTGCACTTGCTTTTCTTCACCTGACCTCAGGGGCTAAGCGAGAAGGTGATGCCAAATATAAGCTGAAGAGGGTCATGATCTCGGGGTCCGTCACGACCACCATAGTATCATGTGGTGCTGCCTGCGGTCATTTCAATGATGCTATTACGCCGAATGGCACGGTCGGGAACTGTTCCTTACCGTGCCACTGCGGCGGCCCCGGCGGTACACGATGCCCTGCGAGCGGATCTGAGGCTCGGGCAACTCGGGACGTTGACGCCTCGGGAGCGCGAAGTGGATAGCGTGCCGCACCGCGGCGCTGTGGGCCAGAACTAGCGGAACGACATGCTATCCGAAAGTTCCCCACAGTATAGTTGATAAGCGGCAGATGCTCCTGAGAGCAGGCAGCGCACCTACCTTCATCGGTAGACCGCCCTGTGTATGTTGTCGGCGGCGCGCTGGCAGGAGCTCAAATGGTTGACCAATATCGCCTTCCCACTGTGGACTCGAATCGAGAGGGGCGTCCTGATGTTACGAGCCGCCAACACCAAGGACTGCCTGTGGGTTGCAAACTCCTGCTCAATTAGCACCGCGTTGTGCTGACCCGCCTCGAGGCGGATGCTTACGTTAATGTTTGAAGGTGCACCCAGAGAAGGCTCACTTGGAAGGAAGGGCCCCCGGAGTGTAGCAGTCGACCACAGCTTCTGCCATCTGTGCTCTCCCCCTCTCTCACATCACCTATTGACCAACATGTTTCGAATACGGCAACACATCCCCGATCACCTTCCTGCGTCATACGTTAGACACACTCGGCGAGGGTATCCTTGGGAGAAGACGGGAAGTGATATGCCACATTCCAAGAATGGCCACGTCACCTCGATCCACACCCGCCCCTCAAACAGGAAAAGCAGCACACGACCTCCCGCAAAAAAAAGACCTGTGTGCTGCCAGCGGATTGCGTACGTGTTGACATGGCGGCTGTGTGGCCCTGGCTACTATCGATGCTTTTGAACCTCGAGACAAACTGAGCTGTCCCTTGCAGGCCCTCGGCCCTTGAGCTGTTGAGTATGATCGGTTTCGGCTGGAACGCCCGACCACTCCATCTTGGCTATGCCGAATCTCCCGCCTGCCGCTCCCAAGGCTCCTCGAAATGCCTCGGAAACCGCGGGACTCGTGAGCCTCGACTCGGAAGGCATCTGCAAGGCTCTGGAAACTTCTGAGTAACACTGTGGTTTGCTTCCTGCTCCTCCTCCTCCGCCTCCCGCGCGGGCAAAGCTCACACCTGAACTGCCGCACGCTATTAGGAGCGCTCCCGTTGCGTTCTTCATCGAGATGTTCCACCAATCGTTCTCTTCTCGTGCTGCCAGGCCCGGGGTCAGGATGTGCTTGGACGATGGTGTCTCTAAAACAAATTGTTGAGCAGGGGTCCCACCGTGCCAGAGATTGGGGAGGGGGCAAGTGGAAGGACAGCATGCCTCACAGCGACTAGCACAAGCCGGCCCAAGCGTGCAGGAACACCCCATGCGAGCAACACGCGCGAAACCATAATTATCCGGACGCAGCAGCAGGAAACGGGACCACGGATCCAGCAGTGACAAAGCGTGGGGCGTCGACCCCCGAACTATTCGATGCGCTCGGGGGTGCCTAGCATGCGCCAGGCCCCAAAAAGACCAGCAGGAAAATGACATTCGAGGGCCCTCCAGGGCCAGAAATTCGGCGCATGAGTGCGAGACACCCCGCGAGAGGAGGGTGGGTCGGGGCCGAAGCATACGCGGTGGCAGAGGCTCACACACCACGGGGAAGCAAGAGAAAGAGACAGAGAGAGAGAGGGACAGAGAGACAGAACCAGCGAGAAAAACAGACAAGAGAGACAGCGCGAGAGAGAGAGAGAGACAGAGAGATGTAGAACAAGAGAGAGAGAGAGAAGATAGAGAAAGAGAAACGGCACAACAAGGGGGCACGACTAGCATAGACATGTGTTTCAAGGACATGTCCGAAACAAATGCACAAGGACCTGAACGTGCTAGATCTTAAAGGAAACGGACGGGACGACCGCAAACAAACGCCGGTCCGTCCAACCGAACGGGAATACACACTGCAAACCACTTCAGACGACAAATAGAAATGGCCCCATCAACTCGCATTCAGCCCTGCGCCCTTGAAATCCCACCAGCCCTCTGGGCGTTGGTAGTTGAACGAATGTTGTCTTCCATCTCTGCCAAAAACCCTCCTCCCCCTGCTTGGGGGAAGCGCGAGCCCATCCCCCATACCCCTTCCCTTGGGGCTGGACGGGGCGCCCTGCGAGGGGTTCGAGCGTCCAAGATAGCCAAAGATGGCTCCAAGAGGTTCTCATTTAACCCAGGATGGCCTCCAAGATGCCTCAAGTTATTTCACAATGGTTCAATATAGCCTCCGACGCACATCCAAGAGGCCTCAAGACGGCCCCAAGACGGTTTCAAGTTCCTTCCGAGCCCTCCAAGGACACCCCCAATCAAAAACCGAAATAATATCAATGTGGTTTGCCCTCTCGCCTTTTCGCTTCCGGTGAGCGCTTGAGGCCTAACGATGGCCCCAGGACGGCCCAAGAGAGCCCTAAGACGGGCCTAAGAAGTCCCTCAAGAGGGCCCCTTAGAATGCCGAAGAGTGCTGCCCAAGAGCGCCCAAAGAGGGCCCCCAAACACCGGGGAACATGAGTTTCCGACTCCCACGTTTGACTCAAGATGGCTCCAAGAGGCCTCCCAGACCCTTCTAAGGAGCCCCAGGAGAGCCCCAAGACCCCTAAAATGACCCCCAAGAAGGCACCGAGAGTACCCCAATATGCCGCACGGGGGCCCAGAGAGTGCCCCTTAGATGGCCTTCGTCGTCCTTCAAGAACCTCTTACAACAACATACCTCCACAACCCGACCTTTCATCCTCGCTGTCATCAACCGATATTTCCCTCCGTCTTTCTTGCATCCTCCTCCTTCTCCCCCTCCTCCTCTTCCTCCTCCTCCTCCTCCTCGTCCTCCTCCAACAAGCAAACTGAATGCTACTCTCCTCTCTCCACTGGTGGCGTCCGGGAGATGATCGGCTCCCCTCCGCGCACGGCTTTCTACACACAAAATTCCCAAGAAACGGGTTTTCGCTTGGGCTGTTTCGCAAAATGCTACTCTCACTGAAGCGCTGGCCTCATTTTCGGGCTACCGCTCGTTCCGAATCGTGCTCCCGCTGCAGCGCTGGCCTCACTTCCGCGCTTCCGCTCGTTCCGAATCGCGCTCCCGCTGCAGCGCTGAAGTCATTATCTCTGGTTTCCGGTCCTTCCAAATCGGCTCCAATATCTAGGAAATGCCCCCCGAAGAAACCATCTGAAGTGATTACACATTCAGTGTCGATTCGTTGTTTTGTTGGTCCGCAGAAGCCCCACTTTGGGGCGTCGCCACGCCATGCTATGTCAGGCTACGCGTCCTCATTCTGCGTTTCCGCGCTTTGGTTTTTTGTTCCAAATGCTGCTCTCGCAAAAGCGCTGGCCTCATTTTCTGGCTACTGCTCGTTCCGAAATCGTGCTCCCGCCGCAGCGCTGGCCTTATTTCCGCGCTTCGGTTCGTTACGAATCGTGCTCCCGCTGCAGCGCTGGCGTCACTATTCCCAGCGCCATGCCACGGCATGGTTTTCGGTCCTTCCGAAAAAGCCCCAACATCTAGAGCATGGCCCCCCGAAGAAACCACTAGAAATGATTACAGATTCGGTGTCGGTTCGTTGATTTTCTCGTCCGCACAGGCCCCCCCTTGCTTTGGGGCGTCGCCGCGCCATGCTGTGTCAGGATGCGCGTTCTCATTTCCACGCTTCCGCGCTTGTTTCATTTTTTTTGCGGGGCAAAATGTTGCTCTCGCAGAAGCGCTGGCCTCATTGTCGGGCTACCGGTCGTTCCGAATCGTGCTCCCGCTGCAACGCTGGCCGCATTTCCGCGCTTCCGATCGTTGCGGATCGTGCTCCCGCTGCAGCGCTGGCGTCATCATTTCCAGCACCATGCCGCGGCATGGATTTCGGTCCTTCCAAACAAGCCCCAACATCTAGAAAACGGCCACCCAGAAAAAACATTGGAAGTGATTCCACATTCGGTGTCGGTTCGTTGATTTGTTGTGTCGCAGAACCCCCCCCCACTGTGGGGCGT